CATGAAATCTAGATGATCGACCAAAAGCACGTTTTAGTAAGAAGGAATAGATGGGTTGAATTAAAAATTAAAAGCTCCTTTGTTAAAGATATTGTCAAGAGAATGAGAAGACAACTCACAGAGCAGGAGAACATACCTGCTCGGCAAATACTTAGAAGAATTAACTGAGATCTCATCCTATTAAAAAGCTTTTGCACAGCAAAAGAAATCACCAACAGAATGAAAAGAAAACCCACATAGTGGGAAAAATTTTAGCCAACTGTTCCTCAGACAAAGGACTTCTATCTAGAATATATGAAGAACTGAAAAAAAATCAGGACCTCATATTCAAAGACCCAACCCAAAAATGGGCATCTGAGATGAACACACACTTCTCAGATGGAGATAGACAAATGGCAAATTTACATGAAGAAATGTTCACCATCACTGGTCATTCGAGAGGTACAAATTAAAATAATGCTGAGATTGCATCTCACCTCAGAAAGAATGGCTATCATCAAGAAATCAATCAATAACAAATGCTAGAGGGGCTGCGAGGGAAAAGGAACCCTTCTCCACTGTTGGTGGGACTACAGACTGGTACAACCATTGTCAAAATCAGTGTGGACATTCCTCAAAAAGCTAGGATTAGAGGTTCCATTTGATCCATCTATTTCCTCCTCTGGGTATCTTCCCAGAAGAATTAAAAACAATATACCATGTGCACCCATATTTATAGCAGCATTATTGTAAGAATCAGATCTTGGAAACAATCCAAATGCTCTGAAGAATGGATAAAAAAAGATGCACCTTCAGACCATACTCATAAGTGAAATAAATAAGACTCACATATGTAAACATCATATTGTCTCCCTGTGTAAGAAATTTTAGATAACATGTAATGTACTATTGTTATTCTATTATTATGAATTGTTTTGCCATAAAATCAGATACCTTTTTGTCATAATGTTAGCCACATTGCCATGAATTCTCTTCACATTTATCCATCATTCTTACCGCTTTCTGAAGCCTAGAGCTCCTTTTCATATCTTTACAAGGTGTCATACCTAACAGGTGAACACTGCTGTCAGGGGCTCCCTACAGGAATGGCAGGCTCATAGAAATTGCGGTGGGCCCTCACGCGCCCTGTTCACAGGTCTGGCACAGGGTGACTGCTGGCCACGAAAGGCAAAAGTTTTGAACTGATCTAGGACATTGAAGTAGCCACAGAAGACACTCATGGGAAGAGCAGTTCCAGAGCTGCTGTTGAAGGGGGACCTGCGAAACTGTGGGGAGCACTCTGAGGGAGATCAATCAGTGTGTCACACGTCTAGAAAACGTAAACATTCGGCATGTTTGTCAGTCGTACCACGTGTAAAATAGCCCAGGATTCACACACACACACACAATGCACAGAGATACACGGAGATAACCATAAGGAAATGTGCTCCCCATCCTATGTGTGCGTTACCAGGGAAACGCAAATCAAAGCAGCGCAGTACCACTGTTTAGCTGTTGGGACGGCCACAACACCGGCCCCACCAGATGCTGCTGAGGATGTTCCTTCCTGGTGGGAGCACAAAGCAGCAGCCACTTTGGAAGGCAGTCTGGCGGTTTCCTACACATCTAACCTACTCTCACCATACGACCCTGCAGCTGTGCACCCTGACATTTACCACACAACCTACACATGGCTGTACCAGCTTTCTTTCCACAACCAAGATGTCCTTTAGGGGGTGAATGGGTAAGTCAACTGAAGAACACCCCGATGATGAAGCACTAGTGCTCTCATGTCATTTAAGACATGGAAGAGACTTAGGTGTAAGTTAGTAAGTGAAAAAAGCTGGTCTTGAAATACACATTTATGATGCCAACTGCAAGGCTTTCTGGGAAACACAAAACCGTGAGGACAGTGACAAGATGACTGCTTTTCAGGGGCCAGAAGTCAGGAACACACGGGTGGGACACAGTATTTTTAAGGAAGTATGATACTGCACTGGTGGGTACCTTACACACGTCAAAACCCACCAGTGTGCAGCTCCCAGACCCAGGGCAGCAGCCTGTGAAGGTCCCGTGAACCCTCAGGCATCTGTGCAGACAGCAGTGTGCTGGAGGATCAGCATTTATGGTTGTCCTGAAAACGTGGCATGGGAAGTCCTGGGTATGAAATCTTTTCCTGCTGTCACATGGTATGTCAATACTCCACTTCTTAAACAGGAAAGCAGCACACTTTAAACGTCAGTTACAGATTGTCAAGCGTGGAAATAATCTGTAAAGCTTATTACTATTTATGTAGAGTTCTCTTGTAGGATTCTTGAGCATAAGTTTCTTTCCAGCCACTTTAGACCTGAGACCTGACAGAAGTTACTGCTCAGAAGTTCAGATTTCCTGTTATTTTTGCCTAAAGATTTTACTTGGAATAACTGCACAATATTTAACATTTTCTACAACATTCAGTAGCTCTTTGCATAACACAGAGGTTGTTTTGTGGACTTTGGCCAAAGAGCCATTCCAGTCCCATGTGCAGAGCTTCTGTGGCCCTTTGGCCATCAGGAGTGTGCAGAGCTGCAGGGAGGGGAAGGCCAGTGTCCCTGAGGCTGAGTTGCTGCTGTGCAATGAGCACAGGAGCTGCCCTGCACGGTCAGTAGCCACAGCAAGTCCTGTCAGAGGCAGGAAGGCAGATGGCCCAGGGTGTTCCATCTGGCTTGCCGCTGTCCGGCCTTTCCCCTAGACGCTGGGTAAAGTGGGCCCAACAGGCAGGCAGGGAGTCAGTTTTACGGGACTGGTGTGGATGAGTCTCATGCTGGGTCCTGCCTCAAACACTAGGGCGGAGGCTGAAACTCGGATGTTCGCCAGGGGACCTTGTCGGCCCCTCCCATCTCCAGTACATGGGACAATCCCACGCCTCTCAGTGCAGGAGGGATGGTCCTGCCTCCTCCTGCAGCTGCCTCTTCACTCACCAGACTTCTGTTCAGTGGGGACACAGAGGAAGGGCAGAGATGTCACTAACATCAGCAAAGACATCACTGATCAGGTCAGGTGGGTCACTGCGAGGAACACATGCAGTGGCGGTCGCGTCCGTCTCAGGTAGTGGGCCCCCTGGGCTGGTGCGAGCCCCCTTCCTCCTGTCTTTGCCACCCCTGTATTCCATCAGTGTTTCTAAGTTTAGAGAGAGCTCCAGAGTACAACTGGACCTCTTACAAAGTAGGCCAAGATCATGACAAGGGGTGCCCAGCGCCCAGCGGGGATGTAGCCTTCATCTCACTGCGACGACCCAATGTCGTGTCAGAAGCCTGCAGCTGGAGACAAGCAGCGTGTGGGAGCCCAGGTTCTCCGCAGAGCAACAGCACCGAGGAGACTGCAGAGCCACTGTGTCCTCCAAGCTGTATGGAGGACACAAGCGCCATCCCCGATGCCCACTGTCGGCACAACTGCTGTTTTCTCTCATGCACTTTGTGCCTCTGTAAATTAAATTGAAAGAAACCTTGCTCTGGAATATTTTTCTGCCCAATTCACATCTCCCTCTAGTGGCAAAACTTAATTTGGAATCAGGGATGAGTCACAGTGGCCACTTTGGACAGTGACCTTGAGACAGTCTCTGGTCACGCGGAGTGTCTGTCAGAGGGGGAGGCCAGTGGTAGAGCTGCCAGACTGTGGCTCGGCAGATCACTTGTCTGAACACAAATGGTCTCTACAGCCGGCAAGCTGCCGTCATCAGCCTGCCTTTCTTTAAATCGCACCGCCAAAACTCTGCTGTCCCTTAACTGCACACTGGGACCTGCTGAGGGAGCCTGCTGAGCTGAGCTGGCCTGGGCCTGTGGTCCTGGGAGCTGTATCTTGCCAACAGACATGGCTCCTACTGCTCACCCTGTTAAAGCGTGGGCAGGAGGAACAGAGCCAATGTTCTTGAGAGAAGGCCATGACTAAAGGGGGTTGGACCCCTCTACCTGTGACAAGGGCAAGACAAACAACAAACAGGAGATGCACCGAGTGGAAGACAGTGGCAAAGGGTGCTGGACAGCAGTTCTTGAGGTGGACATCTCAGGCGCACACTTTACCCAGACGGTATCATTTAAGATGAACACTTAATTCAGCTCCCAATGATGTCTGAGCATGTGGGACATGCCTACGTCCAGTTTACAGCTGGACCTCTGTCCACATCTCATCACACTGGATCAATATAAGGTAAGTATACTAGAACTGCGATTTTGTTACCTGCAGACAAGAGGACAAGTACTATGGAGCCTTCGCTTAGTGCTTGTTCACTTTTAACTTGGAAACTAACCCACAAATGTGACAGTGACAGGTTTACTGCACTCTGACTGAAAGCTGGGGAAGTACCAGACCTGTAATTTTTTTCTACGCATGGAGGCCCAGTTCATGGCCACGCCTGCAGGATCTACTAGGATTCCAAATTTCTTGCAGTTAGCAGCTTAGCAGGAATCAGGCTCTGGAAAGTGGTGGGTGCCCTCAGGACTGCTCTGCCTAGTTTCTCTAAGCGTGGCATGAAGACACAGCCCACTGTGACTGGTTGTTTCTCAAGGAGGTTCTGTCTGACCTCAGTGGCAGCGCCTGACTGACCTCAGTGGCAGCCACAGGATTGAGGGTCTGGGGTACGCGTGGCAGGATGCACCTAATTCCCGAGTGTGGGCAGTGCCAGGGTCAGAGCTGCCATTTCCTCAGCTGGCCCACAGTTAACTTCTTATTGCTCTAATAATCAGAAGTAACCATGACCCTTGGTATTTTTAATGTTTTGGTGCCACCTTTAAGAAAATTGCCCCTACATACTAGATAGTAACTGCCATGGAGGAGCTTAAGAGACTACCTGTTCTGCTGAGACTTCTAAGGCTCTGAGAACCCTTCAACAGCTCTGGAGTGGGCTACATTTCTGTACTCCGAATTCTGACAAGAAACTGGCTGAGAAGGTTGCCCCATCCCCAGCAACGCATCTGGCAGACAAGCAGAGGGAGGGAAAGCCTGGAGAAGGGGTCCCCCAACTGCCGCATCATACTCCAGGAGGGGAACATACAAAAGGGACTTTTATTAAATGGAAGAAGAATCTGTTTTATGGGTCAAATATGAAATAGATATACAAAAATTTTACAGCAGATCTCTCAAGTATAAGGCCATCCAAAAGGGAAGCCCCTCGTCCCACCGCAGCCGCTGTGGCAGGAGGACGCGGCTGCACGCAGCCCAGGCTTCAGGGAAGACCCGGCTGGAGGCCCAGGTCAGCTGAGGGCCCGAGGGAGCTGGGCTCAGCTGGTGGCTTGCAGGCTGTCTGTAGCTCCTTGCTGTTCTGCACTCATGTACACTGTTGTTTCATTTAAAAGTCCTTCAAAACTCTTCAGCTTCAGCTGTGAAAAAGATGCAGGTTCTTGCTGTGTCATTCTCTACGTCTTCTGGGCTCTCCCAGAGTCTTCTCCCTAAGGTATATACTGTGGTATTTAAAGGGACCCACTCCTTCCCAAGGGAAAAACCTTTACTATGTGACAAGAAACCACAAAAATCCAGTCTCAACTACACGCGAGGCTCTGTTGAGCTCTTTGGCATAGCACACCAATTTCTGTAATGCTCTGTCCTTAAAAAAGTAGACTTTCCTATAGTAAAACCTCTTAAAAACACCTGTTTCTGCAAAATAATGTGTTTCTGTACGTGGAGTTCTGCAAAACACAAGTCTGTGAGCAAAGGGACTGAGGACAGGCACGCCGCATGCAAACGGCCCAGTTCACATGAAGTCGTTCAGCTCCGCCTCCAGGGCTGCTGCCATCTCATCCGCCTCAGAGCTGCTGCCCTCCTCGTCCTCATTGCTGGACTCCTTGCTGGACTCACTGGCCGCATCCTCGTCATTCAGCTTTCTCTTGTGGCCTCTAAAGAGAAAAGAGAAGCAAAACTAAAGTGAAACACTGGCCACGGGGCGGGCAAACATGCAGCACACTGCTGTCGCTTTGGGATCTGCACTTGCAAAGGGGCCTCTGTGGTCTCAGGGCAAGAAACTACTGAGTCAGGGGCACATGCACGGCCACTGGCAGGGCACACGGCCCTTCTGCTCGTCCTGGTTGGGTTCTGGGCATGGGGGTGGCAGGTCCGATAGTGCTGTTGGGAACCTCCTGGACCCTGGGCCATACACCAGGAGAGTGCAGGATCACTGTCCTCGGAGCACGGCACCTTCCTTCTAGAGATTTTTCAGCAGATAATAAAGGCCTATAGAGTGGTAGTCACTAAAATAAGGAACATAAACATGGCCAGAAGAGTGAATTGGTGATATGTTCAGTACACAAACCCCTTGCTGGGAGGCACACACACAGAACTCCTAGGCTGCATGCAGCAGGAGGCATTTCACTGACTGAAGCCAGGCTGCTAGGATGAACAGGGTGGACAACTGTGCCACGGAAGTGGTGTGGTGGGAGTCTAACCCAAGTGGTGGACATGCTGCCTATGCTTGCAGAGTCACCCTCACTGTGAGCAGCTCTGAGTGCCAGCCAGGGACACGGTGGTGTTCTCCATCTGTGGAGCTGATGGCTATGCCACTCAACAATGCTCCAGACACCGGAGGTCAGACTTGGATGAGCACAAAAAAAGTCATATATCCACATACAAGCAACTAACCAAAAGCCACCCTCTTCACTGGATCTCCTAGGGGTCATTGAAATATGCTCCTGTTAAGCCACGAACAGAAAATGGAAGCCAGCTCAGGTAATCTAATGCCCTTCCTGGGTAGTCTCCTGTTCCAAACATCTCACTTTCTCAGGCAGTCACCAGAACAAATTACATGAATAAACAAAAATGAAATCTAGCTCTCTGTATTACTAGCAAATACCATCATTATTATTTTAAAAGATTCAGCCCTGCAGATCAACTCCCATACAGAGGAACTGGTAGACCAGAAACTGAACATGTGTAGACTTCAATTGTAACTCCAGACAGCTAATGGCTGGCACAGCACCTCCCCTGGCCATGGCATCCCAAGTGGTCAAGGAGAAGGGCAGCGACAACCTACACAGCAGCCCAACTAGATGCACCACACCCATGTGATGCTGCCCATGAGGGGCAAAGCGCAATCAAGGTCTGAAGTCCCAATTTTGTAAAGCACACCTCACTTAAGACACAATGCGCTGTGATGACGATACACAAACTTGTTATAAACAATTTTCTGGCTTAGAGACACACAATATAGGTAACACACAATGCATGCAACATGTACGCATGACACAAGCTAAAACACAATTACAGCATAATAATTTAAAAGTACTAATGCTGACATTAGGAAATGCCTTTCCTAACTTTAACAGAAAAATGCAGGGCCGGGGATACAGCTCAGCAGCATAAGCAGCGGGGGAGAGGGAAAGGGAGAGGGAAATGGAGAAGAGGGGGGAGGAGAGGGAGAGGGAGAGAGAGAAGGAGAAGAGAGGAAGAGGGAGGGAGGGAGGGAGAGAGAGAGGGAGAGAGAGAGAGAGAGAGAGAGAGAGAGAGAAATGCAATCTAATAAGATGGGATAGAACCTGCAGCAGCAGCATATTTCTGACTGGTGTCCAAAGGAAAGGATTTGCCCAGAATAACAGGTTAGTGAAGGCAAGTTTGTTCTGGGCATGAGTACTCACACTATGCTCAGTACAGAAGGGACAACCACACCAGCTCTTTGGACACAAACTCAAGGGCAACCAGAAGAGAAGCAGGGTAATTCCTGATCCTCATCCCCCGTCCCATGAGATCGTCTTATAAGAAATTATGTATTCTGTTAGCCTAAATTCTAAATGAATATATCATTTTTTATGTCAAGTGCAGTGAGTAATATTGCTTCTAGGGGAAAAAGTATATGGCTTAGCTTTGTTATATAAAACAAAGGGCTGGGTCATAACTTTTTATGTAGGAAGTAGAGTCCCTTGTATTAGAGTCTGAAAACTAAGATTATAAGGAAAGCATGAAGAAGTGGTGGAAGCAGAATTGAATCCCTCCCCGATTACAGAGGCATAAAGGAGGCCTCAGCACATATCCTTAACAGAAACCACGACAAGCACAGTGCCCGCTTTCACAGAGCTGCCTGCCAGTCACGGTGCAAAATGGCAGGGGTGGGTCAGGGTCCCTGGCGACACTGTGAATGCCTCTGACCTCGCTACGTAGGAAGGGTCCTCAGAAGGCACAGGAGCCTTGGAGCAGTGCTGCACATGCACGATGGCTGCCACCACTCTGGAACCTTCCAGAGTCTGGTCGGGACTTTTATCCTGTGGGGGCTTGTCCTTGAAGGTGCAGAGCCTCTGGTGTGGCTGCCTACGACGCTCCGAGCCCCCTAGTGCAGAGCACCTGCCCTGCACACGACGTCTGTTCTGCATACAGTGTGTCAGTCCCAGACTTGCTTCCTGCTGCTCTGGGGTGGCACCAGCGCTCAGACGCGGCAGCGCAGAGTCAGTCATGTTCACAACCACGGCCCAGCGGCCGCTTCTTCACGCGTGGTGGCACGCAGCCTTTGCCATGCCAGCCAGGGCACGCCACAGCCTCACTGCAGCTGTGACTGCGGCCTGTTTGATGGCTAACAACGAACCTCTGCCTGTGTCTTTACTGAGCTGTGTACTTTCTCAGTATTTACTTCTAACAGCTCTTCATACATAGTAGAAATAAGTTCTTTTCACTGTGCTTATGCATATTTTGTCCTACTTTGTGGGCTCTCTTTTCAAATTCTCTCCAGTGTTTTCTGCAGAGCAAAAGTTATCTTTTGTTTTATGGTCAATGCTTTTAGTGTTGTAACTAAAAACTCTATGTAACACATGGTCAAAAAGATTTTCAGCCAGGTATGGTGGTGTGTGCCTGTTATTCCATACTCAGTGGGCTGAGGCAGGAAAGTTGCCATGAGTTCAAGACCAGCCTGCGTTACACAGTGAGCCCTTGTCTCAAAAAAACAAAAATGAAAAAAAAAAAAAAAAAAAGAAAAAAGATTTTCTCCTGTGTTTTCTTCTGTAAGCTTTAGTTTTTAATTTAGGTCTGTAATCTATTTTGAGTTAATTTGTGACTGTCTGGAGCAAGGTATGGGTTATGATTCTATTTTGTTGTTGCTGCTGTTGCATTTGGACGTTTACCTGTTGTAGCACTATTTGTAGGAAAGAATATTTAAGAGCTGTTCGTAGAAATATACATGAAAAGACCTATAATTCAGGGAAACCTTTTGAATTTTGAAACAGGAAAAGAAACTCCCCCACAAAGTGTACCTGGCTATGTGACTTTTTTTTTTTTTTTAAAAGCAAAAGAGACCACAAACGAAGTTGCAAACTATAGATCTGCAGGCAGATGGCACATGCAGTGTGGTCTATTACGTTTACTGCCTTTAATAAGCCAGTAAGACAAAACAATCTAATTGAGCGAAAAAGTCCCTGAATAAAGCAAAACAAGTAATGCAAACTGGGGTGATAATCTAGAATCACACTCCACTACCAGCCTGCAAGTGACCCTGCAGGGCAGGCGTGGGATGCAAGCCCGAGCTCTGCGAAATAGGATGGTCTTCAGAAAACGAGTATCAACACTGAAAACACAAGCCTGTCTGGAGGTGAGCATGTGCTCAAGGGCGTTTGTCACCAAGTAAGCAAGCAGCGGCAGGTGCAGTCCAGCCCGGTGTGAAAGGGCGGAGAGAGGCACTAAGATTCCAGGTTACCTAAGTGTAGAATCGGCAGAAGCCGAGACGACCTGGGCGTGAGACCTGCACCAAATTCTTCAACAAATTTTTGGTATCTAGCTTACAGAGCTACAAATAAATTGCACCCACCCTCCAAAGTACTCCTTACTTTTCCAGCAGCCTTGTCTAACTGCACTGAGCAGAAGGGACACAGCGGCCGGGGCAACACAGAGACACACAAGACGGGCAGGGAGGGGAACAGATGGTGGGCTGGGGGGAGCACCCGTCTCCTGGTGGAGGGAAGAAGAGTGCTGCTCAAGGACAGGACCTGAGCCTCACCTGCACTCCACACTGGGAAGCCTCAGGCTTTATCCTGAGTGGCATGGCATAAAGGAACCTGAGGTTTGGCAGCGGAGACAAAGACATCAGGACAGATGCACAACTGACACAATTCTTTGCTGGGCCAAACATCGTGCCTTGGGGTGTGCTGAGGCACGCCTCTCCATTTCAAAAGGTTCTTATGTTTACCATTATTGATGATAAATGCAAGTGTGACAGAGCAGACTGGCAAAGCTGCCCCTCCAGCTTGGTGCTGCCTGGTTCCATCTGGAAGGAGTCACACCCGCAGGGCTGTGCTAGGGAAGTGCCCTCTTCATTTTTAAAGACAGGACATGCAGCAGCCCTCAAATGGCGACTTCTACCACAGCATGACCCACTCAAGGCACAGAGGCACAAGACTGCGGTGCCATCTCCACTCCAAGAGGCAGACAGAGGAAGAGCCCAGGCCATTGCTATTGCTCTTTCTGTTCACACCAAAGCCAGAGCAGACACAGCCTGAGGATCATCCCAGGAACACCTGCCGAATCATCTCCAACTAACAGGTATTATTTTTAATGTATTTTTCCTTGAATGTTTTTGTCAGTGTATGTTCATAGTACATAATATTCTTCGTATAGACTTGGTACATTTATATTCCTGTTTTCATTTCCTTTGCCTCCATCCCTCCATCTCTTTATCTCTTTCCCATTTAAGAAAGATCTATTTCCTATTATCTTTTACAAAATTTATGAGAAATTATTAGATGATTTTGTTTGTGGTAACAAGAATAGAATTCTATTTAGAAACTATATAAATGGAACACTTTGTTCCACTGAAAATAAAATAAAAACTGTATTCTACTAAGCACTGTGTAGAAGCCAGCCCTCAGGCCTTCCTGGGAGCATCAGGGAACCACATGCACATGTGCAGTAATACACACACACACATGCA